AATTTAAAAATACCATCAATCAAATTTTTTTAAGATCATTGTGATAAATGTAAGGAGAATACAGTCTTTTTCCTTAAAAAAGAAAAATAAACATTTTGAATTTAAAAAAAAAAATGTTAAAATCTCACATGATTTCAGGTTCAATTTAATAATCCAATCTCGACTCATCTCTGAAAGAAAAATGTATAAAACTAAAACAATGAAGAAGACTACTTACAACCGGTATATACCATCAAAGACCTCATCAATCACCAAACTTCTAAAGAACAATCTTTAAAAAGAAGACAGAAATCAGAGTGCATAGAGACCTTCGCCTAGAGCAATTTAAATCACCGCTAGAGACCACGTCGACCTGATCGTAACCCCTCCCATCAATGCTTCCCCCATGGCCACAAATACTATCCTTCACGATGAAGGGAGCGGTCGAGAGAATCGTCCTGTAAATTTGAACGGAGGAGTGCGCCCGCGATACAAGTTAGTCGAACTCTGTGCTAAAAGCCAATCTGCAGCCAGCTGCGATTAGCGTGACCGTTCTCGTCGTCTTCGTCATCGTCAACGGAGCCAGCCGCAGCCTCGGGATCGAACTTCCGAGATAGATAATACTTCAGGATGTCCAAGTTGGAAGACCTCTCCTCTCTTTAACTCGGCTCTTTCCGCCCCCACCACATCCTGCAATTGCAACCTGGGAAAGTAGCTTGGAATTACGGTCATCGGTAGGCGTGGATGTGTTTGTACTTCTATTTTCTGTGTGATTCAATTTATTTTCGTGACGTCGACTACGAGAAAAGTCCATCGAGAACATATGTAACTCGTAAAAGAGCTAGGTTAAGTTGGAAAAGATAAGGTTAGATTGGTTTGAGTAGCGATGGGATCAATTATATCACGAATAAATTAGATTAGATTAGAAAAAGATTGAATAATTGGTAAAAATACATTTCTTGAAATTTAATGAAATTAAGGAGTTAAATTTTGAGAATGAAAAAAAGTTTTGCCTAATTTATATAGTTTTAGAAAAATATAAAAATATGTAAATAGAAAAATGAGAATATGTAAATAAAAAAAAAATGAAAAAACAATAGATTATTTCGTTTCTTATTTATACATTTTAAAATATATATAAGGATTAAGTTATAAGTAATTTTCAAAAAATTATTTAATTATAATACATAAATTTAGATTCATAGAAACGTAGATTTTTAAATTAGCATTTTAATTAGATTTTTAAATCAGCATTTTTAAATTAAATGCAAATCTTTATATATCTTGATAGAAGAATAAATGGGCTCATATTAATATAATAATAATAACAAAAACCAATTATATTCGAATATTTTGAAATATGTATTAAGTAAGTTAGTATTCGAAGTGAATCAACTTTAGCATTAGATTTAATTTAGATTTAGATTTACTATTAAATTTGATCCTATCGCTAGTCACAGGTAACTGTTCTCTTACTTTCTTTCTTCATTGTCTTTCTTCTTTTTTCTTCTTAAAATTCTCTTCATCTATATTTTCTTTCGATTCAGGCCGATTTGCGATAATGAGTTTTGAAACTCTTTTAACCCTTTTGTCTCAACGAAGAAAGACACAATTTTGAAGACCGTAAAATTCTATTTTCTTGTGGTGATCACTTCTGTTTTTCAATCTAACGAAAATTCTTGGCGTTATATTTTTAATATTTGGAAATGGAATAAATTACACTTATAGTAATCATATTCTACTTATTTATTTGTTGAAGAAATTTTTATCATCAATTCTTGAAAATGCAATTTCAATTTTTGAGACACATATTTGTTAAAAATTTAAAATACATATCATACAAAATATGAAAATATTTTTTTCTATCTCATTTATAAGAAAATGAGAAAGAAATTATCGATAATTCAAAACACTTAATTTCTCAGATAACTAATGTATTTTAATCTCAATTTTGTGATAATTATCTGGATATATCTATTATATGTATAGATGAATAAAAATGAAAAAAATTTTAAATTGTTGGAGAACAAATTTAAAAAGAAAAGAAATAATAGAGAAGATTATTTAGATCTTAAGAAGATAGTTTAAATCCCAGTCCTTTTATTTAAAAACACGATTCAATGACAGAGATAAGAAGTTTCCAGAATTAAAAAAGTTGTATTTAAAGTATGTAGAATGAAGCTCATTAATTATTATTGAAATAAATTTTGAATGATTAGAGTATTTAAATATTTAATATTTAAGAGTATATTAATTTATTATTTTTTGATAAGAAATTTTAAGAAGTTATCATCAAAAAATAAAACATCTATCGAGAAAATAATATTATCATGAGATAAATATTAAAAATATTTTTCAAAAATATTTTATCATTATATAATAATAATAAAACGTGAGAAGTATTGAAAATTGTTCCTGTTTGCAAAAAAAAAAAAATAAGCCGAAAAAAATTTATCGAACTAATCTTTATCGATCGGCGCATCTACGTGCTACAATGATCGATCTTTCGCGGATGCTATGGGACAAACGATTGCCACGAAGGATTAACAGAAATTTATGCAGCAACATCTGCCACCGGTGTCTCAGTATTCGCCCGTTGCTGATTCAATCGTGGCACGCAGCTGGGCCATCGCGCGGGATCGCGTTAACATCTTCGAAGTTGGCAGACGACTTAACATTTATCACGTGAGATTAATTAATGACAACGAGGCGGGACGTAAGCGTATATACCTGGCAAACAGTGCATATTCTCCTTCCTTCCAGTATCCTCTTTCTCTTTCTGCTTCCGTTTCACTTTTACACGCGTCTCTCTCTCTCTCTCTCTCTCTCTCTCTCTCTCTCTCTCTCTTTCTCTCTCTCTTTCTCTCTCTCTCTCTCTCTCTCTCTCTCTCTCTCTCTCTCTCTCTCTCTCTCTCTCTCTCTCTCTCTCTCTCTCTCTCTCTCTCTCTCTCTCTCTCTCTCTCTCTCTCTCTCTCTCTCTCTCTCTCTCTCTCTCTCTCTCTCTCTCTCTCTCTCTCTCTCTCTCTCTCTCTCTCTCTCTCTCTCTCTCTCTCTCTCTCTCTCTCTCTCTCTCTCTCTCTCTCTCTCTCTCTCTCTCTCTCTCTCTCTCTCTCTCTCTCTCTCTCTCTCTCTCTCTCTCTCTCTCTCTCTCTCTCTCTCTCTCTCTCTCTCTCTCTCTCTCTCTCTCTCTTTCTCTCTCTCTTTCTCTCTCTCTTTCTCTTCGCTTAAATTATTCGTTCGCTCCATCTCTTTCTTGTTTTCTCGAGACAGATGGCGAGAATGTTCTCGTCTCGAGAACATCTGGAGAACTCGATTTGCTCTTGATATGTATGTATACATGTACTTAAGCGCATGTATATGTATGTATTTCCTTCTGATCTCTTGCTTTCGACGATTCCTTTTTTCTTTAATTTTTTTAATGGTTTGTTATTGTCAGATGGTTTAAAATGTTTTATATGCTTTATTTTAACGGATTTATATTCAATAAACTTATGTTCTTGATATGAATTTATTTTTATACTTTCGTTACGATTTATATACAAAGAATAATCAAAAAACTAAATTTCCCTCAATAATTAATTATATGAAAAATAATTTTAATAATATTTCTGTATACGTAAAATGTTTTCCGAAAATAAGTTGATCTAATTTCTTTTGAAATTTACTCTTATATTTATAATTTAAATTTATTAAAGTTTTTGGTGAACGAATAATAACGAAAGAAAAGATTTGAAAAAGTTTGAATCAAAAATTCTATGATAATACAAATTAATGGATAATGTTATTGTAATATGTATATTCGAGATAGATTAGAAATATTCGAGTAAAATGGAATTTTAAAAATTTTAGTATAATTTCAAGGAATCAAATACTATCGAGCTATCATCTTTAATAACTGCACAAACCAATCGTATTCGATTATTGCCGAAATTGATTTACATGCTTTTGGCAATATTGAAATCTCGATTTTATCCGATTTTTTGTAATCTATCCCAAAACTTGATTCTCTATATACATATAAAAATATGTAAAAACTTTATAAATAAAGGTTTCTTTATAAATAAAAGAAAATAGGAAATTTTATTTTGTGATCCATCATCGTATTTCTAAACTGAATTATTGTATATACGAAAAAATATACTTTATATATTATAATTTAAAGAATTTATTGTGTTTGTAAAACTTTATATCTGTTATATCTGTTATAATAATAATAATTTAAAAAATATATATTATAATTTAAAGAATGTTTATTGCATTTATAGAAGTTTATATCTATTATAATAATAATTTTATGAATCTAATAAATAATTTATTTATACATTCTAAAATATATCTAAGACTAGTCAATATTAAAATATTTCTAGTAAAGTTTAATATAAAAAAATTAATCTGAAAATATAATTGACTGGAAATTGGAGTAAGGTACTATGTAAAAAATGTAAAAAAATACTATATTTTTCTAATAAATAGAATATTTAAGTAAGATTTTTAAGTATTTATAATATTATATCTATATATATATCTATTTGTATATATATATTTGTTATATTTTATATATTATTATGCTTAAAACTATTTAAACAATGAAAGACAGCAAAATTCGGAATCAAAAATAGAAATTCATTCCTAAATTTTCTAAGATTTCTAAATGCATTAAATATTAACTATTATTTAGCATTAATCTTCTAAATGATGGAATGGTTATTTTAATTCAGTTTCAAGTTTAATACTGTATGTTGCATAACATAGTTTATCTTTTCTTCATGTAGAACTTATCCGAATCCTTTCTTTTAATGTTTCAAAATAGAAAAGATTTCAATCGAAAGCTTTTTAATCACATATCTTAAAGCGATACGATAATTGATTTATGGCATTTTGGTATTTAGCAGAGCATTTGAACTTCGAAAGAACTCCATCCGTTCAGAGCAAAGTTCATTATCTTCAGCTGAAGATCTTCAACGTGAGAGAGTGAGTTTTCAAGTGACGAGAGTGAGAATTTAACATAAATCGCAACTTACAGAAAGCTGAAAACAAAAAAAGAAAACAAGATAGTCATGTAGCTTTAAAGAAAGTATAAGAAATTACATAAGGCTACATTTTTAGTTAGTACTAAACAAGTTTTTATTATCATGTTATTTTCAATTGATAATTTTACTCGAATTGTGATATTGATAAAAAACAAATTATAATAATTAAAATTTTTTTTATTTAAAATAATTTTATAATATATATAATATATAATAACTTAGGTAATTTAATTATTATTAAATTTAATCTAATTTAAAATATTTTTAATTATATAACATTATATATAACATATAAAATATATATTTAATAATCGAAGCTGAACTAGAATTCTTTTTCTATTAAATATGTAAACTTATATTTTTTTAATAATTAGAAAAATATAATTTTTAATTATTCAATTATTTTAATTCAATTATTTTAATTTTTCGAAATATTTATTAATGTAAGAATGATAAAATATTTGATGATAAAATGAAAATATATAAAAGATTGCAATTTATTTTTTATAAAAGTTTATAAATTTTATAAAATTTTTTAAAAATTTTTTATAAAAGTTAAGAAATAAATAGAATATAAATGCAGTTATTTCGAAAAATATTATAAAAATGGTATGGTTTTGATTCTTATGCCTATATTATACCTATACATAAATACATAAATACATTAAGTAATAAAACTATTTTATTAATGCATTAAAGTATATTATATTATGTGTATAAATATTATATATAAGTCTTGATATAAATTATTTAAATATTCAAGAAAAATAAAAAAGATGTAAATTTTTTATATATATTCTAAATAATTTATAATAACAATTTTTTATAATTTGATATATTAAAAACTATTTTTATTAAACAATTTTATCATTTTTTTTTAATATTATTTTTTGATGTATAATTTATTTTAGAAGAATTTAAGTAAAAAAAAACTTATTATTTTTAATTTGATAATATAAAGAATATATACACATTTCCGAATATATAATTTGTCTTTTAAATTACAACATTATCCGAATATTTATGGAATTGTATGTAAACACAATTTTCACCAATCTAATATCTAAAAGAAAACATTAAATACTAAAAATTCTTATCTCTTAATAAGAAAACCAGCATCTCGTTCTTATCGAAATACAAAACTGTTAGTTGTTCTCATTAATTCTGTCGGAATGTTCTTACTTTATCCACCCTAAATAAATTCCCCAAGATAACCATTGTCTGACAATCGTTTAAATTTCTCTCAACAATAATCCAAATCTATCAAAATCCACAATTTTTCACATCGAAAATAATTATTTTCCATGCATGGACCTTTTATAAACGCATTTAATATTTTTCGACTAAT